CAGCGTGGATCAAACACGAGCACGCTTAGCATGACTGTTGGCGGTGTTTCGTTTCACGGCCGGTATAGCTTGCAAATTTTGCCGTACCAGTCGTTGCAGGCGAACAGACATTAGTTGAATATCACTGTCGTTGCCCGGGGGGCAAGAAATTCAGGTGACAGGGCGCAGGGCACGTTGCCAGAAAAACCGACCACCATCGCCGGACCAGAGACGCATTGCACAGGACTCCAATCGGACAGTGATCGGCACGTAGCAACACTTCGTCCAGATCGATGGCTCGCGGAGCTGTACAAAGTGGCTGGACGAACGTGGGTACAAATCGCAGAAAGCAGGGTGCAGAATCTTCGGCAGAGTCTTGGACAGACAGACGTTTTTCGAGGAGTGGATTGAACATGATGACGATGGCGATGACGAATATGATTGATGATTGATGAAGCCACTGATGAGATGAACGGAACTGTCCTGAAGCTCCTACGTTGAACGTGTCTGTGCGGTGCAGATGTGCATTTCGTTCAAGCATAAGACAACTTTCGGCTTTGACGCTGGGTCGTCATGGAGACAGCGTGACCGAATGTGAACTTTGGCAAAAAACCAGTACCTCTCGCTTTGTTTGCTAGCTACTGTGGTCGATCTTCCTCAACGAAGCACAAGTTAACGTCCTGTCGAAGTCGAAGCGATGAGGAGTCGTGCAGACAACATCTACAGAATTTTATTCAACGGCAAAAATAATGACGAATACCAAAACTTCAGTTAATTCACCGAAAATTCATTTTTTATAAATAACTACTTGCATACAGGGAAAAGACGAACACTTCCCTATGCATGTTAACGAAGGCATTCGCTTGAGGATCGTTCCGGACGGTCATCATGCCAGCCTTTAGCCTCTCTGGATAAAATCCCAACAGCCTTCAGTAGTCGGTGCTTATTGCTTTCTTCGAACTTTCGCGTCACTGGTCGCCAACCATCATCGCTTCATCTTCGCTGCGTCTTCCACAGTTTTCTGAATATGTTTTCTGCATATTTTATGGAGACCGACCGATCCGTTACCCTTGAGCATATGAAAGTTTTTCCTTCTTAAAATCGTCTCTGCAGTGTAGAGGAACATTAAAAAAACACGTATATATGAAATGGAACAATAACAGCGGGGTTTTTATTAAAGCCCTTCAATTTTGAAAAAAATGCAACATGGCAACAGTTCAATACGCATGTAAAAATATTCTTACACTGCACTTTGAGAATAAACTTTTTTAAATGTATCACCACGACATAGAAGAAAGATAAAAAAAGGTAATTTCTGAAAAATTTTTTCCCGACACTCGCGTCGGATCGAAAACTGATATTCGATAGACTGCGTTACTTTCGACGACCTTGTATATGCATAAGAGTTAACTCGGACACGACTTTGTTCAGGGAAAATAGTCTAACAGGAGAAGCGAAATTTTGCGTGTCATCTTCGGCTCGCTCCTGAAACTGCATCAAGCAGTTGATCCCAGTTCCAACGTTCCTTATCCGTCACTCGTCCCCCGCCCTCCGCCGACTTGAACGGTAATCGATGCTGCGTCTACGACACGGGCTTTTGGTCACACAAAAACAAGCCTGTCAAGGAGGCTCGCCTTCGGAACAATGCCACATCCCGTTTCATTCGATTTAGAACATTCGGCGGCGTCCGAGTACGTTGTTGTACTTTGCACCTGCATGCGTCGATGCAGAGGACCGACACGTCGGCTGCTGCCTCTGCAAACTCGATTGTCCTCGTGTCGTGTTCTTGTGTCG